GTTGTCCAGAGCTAGATGACTGACCTGAGCTATGGTGTCCAAAGCCAGAGGACTGACTTGAGCCATGGTGTCCAGAGCTAGATGACTGACCTGAACTGTGTTGTCCAAAGCCTGATGACTGACCTGACTTACGGTGTCCAGAGCCAGAAGACTGACTTGAGCTATGTTGTCCAGAGCCAGAAGAGTGACCTGAGCTATGTTGTCCAGAGCCAGAGGACTTCCCTGAACTGGACCCTTGTTGTCCAAAACCAGAGGACTGACCTGAGCTGGACCCACACTGACCATAGCCAGAGGATTGACGTGATCCAGACTCATGTCCACAGCAAGACTGACCTGAACCAGAACCAGGTTGTCCATATTTAGAGGACTGGCCAGTGCCAGACCCACACTGACCATAGCCAGTGGATTGACTTGATCCAGACCCATGTTGTCCACAGCATGATTGACCTGAGCCAGATCTATGTTGTCCATAACCAGAGGACTGACCACTGGAAGACCCACACTGACCATTGCCAGTGGATTGACTTGATCTAGGCCCATGTTGTCCACAGCAAGACTGACTTCTGCCAGAACCATGTTGTTTACAGCAAGAGGACTGACTTGAGCTTATTCCCTGCTGGCCTCCACAGTTCTGTGGTTGACCACATTGTCTATATCCATATCCCCTCTGACTAGAAGAGTGGCTACAGGATCTAGGCTCAGATTGAGGACATCCAGAGGAATGACCTCCTGAGATACATCCATGACCTTGTCCTCCACTCCTTCCTGATTGACAACCTGAGTGGGTATAGCTAGATTGATTTCCTTGACCTCCAGATCTACTTGGCTGGCAAGGACTAGAAGCATGTTGTGGTCTTCTACACCCACCTGAATTGCTATATCCACACACATGACTTTCTTCCTTGCTGTCTCCCAAACCTCCAGAGGTAGATCCAAGCATTTGTTCTCCATTCTTTCTTGTCTGAGTAGAGTTTGGTTCATGTCCATTTGTCCCCAGTCCATGTGACAGACCACAACGACCTCTCCTTCCCTGGCTCTTTGACCCAGCTCCAGATTCATGTTCCTCACCAGATTCCCTAGAGGGGCTACCATGTGACTTGCTTCTTCTTTCCTTCAGCCCTCCAGAGCTGGAACCATATCTCTCTTTGCCACTACTCCAGGAGTGACCAGAACTAGACCCATGATGACTTGTCTCAGAACCTTCTGAGCTGCACAGTTCACCTCGCCTTTCAAGCCTCCTGGAGTTGGACCCATGTCTATGTTTTGCAGTTCCTCTTGAGCCCCCAGATCCATAACCATGCTTCTCTCCCTCTCCCCAACTTGAATGTCTATAACCTGATTTATGTCTCGGTGTCTCCTCTTCTTCCTCTTCTGTTTTGCTTTCTTCTTCTTGGTGTTGATGACCATGCCTACGCTTCTTTGACCCTGAAGCTTTGCAGTATTCTCTACTGAGAACCTTGTTGCAGGCCATAGTTAGCTTGAATACCATCAGAAGAAACTCAGTGAAGTCTAGTCTTCGGTCATGATCTCGATCCAGCATATGCATGATGACATCCACTGTATCTGGATCATCTGGGTTCTGTGTATGAGTGACATGCCAAGGGAGACCTAGTTAGCCCAGCCCACATTCTCAGCTAAAACAATCAAGTAGGGATATGGATTTGTCTGAGAAAATAAAGACTACTGGGGTCCTTGGAAGAAGACATTTCAAGGATAAGCAAAAGGATTAAGTGCTTGGGTGTGGCATATGGAAAGGAGTGTGATAAACCAAGTTCAGCAACTGGTATATCTTAGTTTTGCAGAGATTTTAAGCATGTATGTTAATACATACTATGTTAGTACCTATTATTTTGCAATTAATACTTGGCTCCTCCCCAAATAGATGGAAAATGCTTATAGTTCATTTTCAGTTTTTAATTATCCTGGCCACTTTGTTAACTCCCCTTTTAGAAGATATCCCTTTCCACCATCCCCTCAGTTTGATAGGATAATTTATTAATTCATGTTTTAGCACAGATTTCTTTTCTGCTTTTTCAGAAGGGGAATCCTGAGTACATGAGAAAGTTTGAGAGTCTGGAAGGTAAGAGTGCACAGGAAATTGAATAAAAAATTCACCTCTTAAAAAATATATGCTTCATTATAATCTAAATGATTTGACCATTTTTGTAAGATACAGGTTCATAAGAAAAGTGCTATAGAAATTATATAGATAAATATTTGCAAAGCTGCTCCTGCCATTGTATCAGTATTAAAATGTATCCTACCTTTTACTAATTTTTATGATAGATTTTATAATGTAGTTATTTGAATACCTGCAAATGGTATGGTGTCATTAAACTATTGCTTATTATATGCTCCTAAAAATACATGTTGCCTCAATAGATTTTATTACTGCTGCTGATAGAGTTCTCTCAAATGCCATTGAGGCTGTGCACTGTTTTGCTAATCTTGCTCCTGTAGCAGCATGTACAGGACCCCAGTAGCTTTCAGTCCTAGCACATGGTCTTTACCTTCAGAATTGGACGAAACTCTTTCTCTAGAAGTTCCTTTAGCTCATCCTTGCTCAATGTGTCACATTCGCCATCTTGCTTGGTGTAGTTGTAGAAAATATCAATGACTGTGACAACACTTCTTAAGAGGTCTGTCATCTTTTTGCAAGTTTAAGTGAACCTAAAGAGAGAGAGAAAAAATATATTATGTCATCCATTTTCCTGTCTTTTAATTTATAAACAGTTGTCATCTTTTTTTTTTGCACTTTATTAAATTCTTTTATTGGTACATTGTAGGTATACAACACAATTACATTTCTCATTGGGAATTGTACCTTTACATAATGCATCTTGGTTCTTATTTTTTCCCCATTCCTAGCCCTCCCTTCACCCTCTCCACCCTTCCCTATTTACAAAGACTTTATTTCCATTTTTTCCATTTCTCAGCATTTTTCCTTTCCCTTCTTTCCTTTCCCCTGCCCCTCCCACTACCCCTACCCCTTTGGACCTTTTCTTCCTATTTTGCATCATCGATTATTCATTCTAATCATTGGTACATTTTAGGTATACAATATAATGACATTCATCATTGGAAATTTGCACCTTTACATAGTCTCTCTTGGTTCTTATTTTTCACCCTTGCCCAGCCCTCCCTTCAACCTCTCCATTCCTCCCTATTTACAGTTGTCATCTTTAATGTGATTTTTAAATCTCTTTTCTCTTTTAAAACCGAACAAATAAGGATGGGTCAGGGATTTACAATACCTTTCAACACAGTGAAGTTTGTTAACTCTAAATTACTTTGCCAAGATTAAGTCATGGCATATCATTAGCCAACTGGGACTAGGTATCAGGTCTCCATATTTCGTGTCCTAGAATAATATAGTCCTGTTTAATGTCTGTACACATTGAGTGGTTTGTTGTTTTGGGTGTTGTCCTAGGGCTTCCAAAGTTTTCAGGAAAACCCAGATAACATTGTAATGTGTCTTTGTAATTTTACTGCTGCTTTTTTTTTTTTTAAATCAAAAGTGACAGGCATTCTACCATGATATTTATGTTCTCTTTTGGTACCAGAACCTCAACTAGATCCTAAAGACCTTTAGAAAATTAAAAATGGGCAAAGTGGGCTAGCAGAATCTTTGTACTTCACAGGCATGAGAGAGCACTTATCAGAGCTCAGGAACTATCCTAATCTCAGCACTTGATCAAACATTGTTCTTTTTCATTGGTCTCAGGGAGAAAAGCCCAGTAATATAGGCAGCAGTTAGACTACTGAATAATTAGATCTTAAAGTCTAGGAACTAACTAAACAAAGAAGAGATCCTACAATAATACTAGCTTCTTCCCTATTTGAGCTGCATTGCCCAGAAAGTATGGCATGTAATAAGTCTGAGAAAAGAGTACGAGTGCTAGAAGAAGACAAACTTCTACTTACATTATTATTCTCCATAAAGACACTTATTCTAGAATGGCCCAAGAATAAAGTAAACTAACCAACTAAACAAACAAAAACCAGACATAAAAGAAAGAAAAATACAAAAAAGAATGACAAAATATAACATGATCTCTGCTTTAACTCATACTCCTGTATTTCTGTCACGCATAACACTAAATATCCATAGTTGTAGCTGGATGAATTTTCTCACCTGGTTCACCAAAGGAACACGTAGGATAAAGCCTGATGCAGCTTGCAGGGTGATGCTGGATTGGGAGAGTGACCCTTATATAGCTTATAATGTGGGTGCTGTCCTCTGTGGGATGGGCTGATTCATTTCAATCAAACCTAACTCCACCTCTCTACATGTTTATCTTCCTCCTTCTCCACATTCCCATCTGTAAAATGATTGCAGAAAAACTGGTACTGGCTCCACCTTCTGATGTGAGGACATGGTGCAGGATACTTTTTAAAAGTGCACTTTTTATATGCACTTTTCATATACATGTGAAAAGCAGAAACTTTATTTCAATTAGATAAATGCTTATCTAATTGAAAATGAACTGAACTATTAGACTCACCTAATTCATGTGTTCTTGCAATAATCACTGCCATTTTTCCAGGATTTACTATACACTAGGAAATAATGTGCTGGATATGTTTCACATATTGTCTTATCTCTTCACAACATTTCTGCTTGTATTTTATCCTAGTTAACAGATGAAGAGACAGCTTTCCAAGGCATGACAGTTTCCAAAGGCATAAGCTAGAAGGTGGAGGAAGCAGGATTTAAGCCTATTATGGTACTGTTGCTGTTAACATTATTATAATAGCTTATCTCTGTACCTTTATTACAGAATTACACACCATTTTTGGAGTATCAGGCCCACTGAAACACACATGATGTGAAAAAGTAATAAAAAAATACTCTAAACCAGGAAAAGAAGAAATATTCCCTGGCACTGTGACTTTTCTAGGCTATCAAAGTATAATGGACTATATATAAAAGTAATGAATTCAAAAGTTTTCAAGGTGAATTTAGAATGCACTTTCTGTTGGTAGTCTGGATCTTTGGGCCTGGACCCTTAGGAAAGTGTCATTTATATGCACAAAGTATATCAAGTATATTTGAGGGTAGCAGAAAAAATCAGAAAGTTGTATTAGGCACAATAAACCAGCTCTTCTGTGCTTTTCCACCAGGTGATGATAATATTAGCTGTCATTAGGTGCTTACTATCTTCTAGACATGATAGTTTTATATACTTACCTATTTCTCACAGTAACCTTGTAAGGTCAGTATTATTGTCATCCTCATTTTATAGATAAGAAAATGGAAGAATAAAGAAATTCAAAAATTAGTTTTAATTGACAGCTGGTCAGTGGCAGTGGTAGGATAGAAACTCATGCTGTCTAATGCCAAAGCCTGACACTTAATCACATATACAGTATGACAAATCTGGTCAGTCAGTTCCTATATGGGCGCCCCTTTGGGGACAGTCATCGTATCTTAATTCAATCTACACAGTGCCTAGTTGGTAAACATTTAGAATAAGTATTTGTTCTAAATTGTTAATGGATTTGCCCCTAAAATATACCCATTCTTCTCACAGCTAAGGAGTCCTGGACCAGAACCACCAGACAGAAAGTTATATTTTCCTTAGACATGATGGTCATTATCAATTTTATGAATCTTTTGGAATTGTTTGTTTTTGTTAAAATGACTGCTATGTCAGGTAGACTTTCAGGCCCCAGAGTCCACACTGAGAATTTTAAAGCCATCCTTGTGCTGGAACTCTAGCATTCTGGTCTATAATGTTGAAACTTTCTCCATAGTTTGTCCACTTTGAGAAGACCACATTTACTCTTATGTATTCTTAGCATTCAGGTCTTTCTTCCTTTTCTCATTTGCTTAGCATAATAGATAAAGTTACAGACTTTGTAGTCAGAAAGACTTGAATTCAAATCTCAGCCATCTAATAATCCTCTCAGCCTCAGCTTCCCAACTTAACCAGTGGGAACATAACTTCTACCTCACTAATGGAGATAATGTGTGGCATACAACAAATACTTAGCAAACTGCATGATTATTACAAGCTCATTTTTCCTAGCATCTAGCATAATGTTTCATACATAAGAGGTGCTTGATCATGTTGGATAAAAATGAGTTAGGAGCCAATATTACATCTTTAAATACAGAAGTATTACTTCTCTTTCAAAAGCATTGCCCAGAAGGTTAAATCATGACTTTAAAAAATAGACTAATTTATTGATCTATAATTCAAAAACCATAAAATTCAACTGTAACAATGCACAAATTAATGGATCTATCCAGAGAGTTGCACAAGTAAGTCGTGATTCATATGGTATCTGTAGGTAAGATTCCACGTTTCTCAATGCTTCAGTTTTCCCTTTTATTATTAATGTTCGGGTACAAGTGGACACATATCAGGTCATTTCAGCAACATTTCTGAAGAACAAATATTGTCCCCATTCCAGAGAGGCCCCAGTACACTTGACAGGGAACTAAACTGCTGGTTTCTAATGACCGACTTGATGGTACCTGCAGGCACTTTTGCTTGCCTGGGTTCTGCAAGGTTATTTTGTGTAAATAAGCAGAGGCCTGGAGTGGAGAAGTAGGGTATAGTCTCAGCTATACCATTTCTCCATGCGTGGGCCTCCTTCCTGCCTGTGGCTGTCATAAGAACCAAACATTTTCTCTGGGCTGTGACTCTTAGAAACTCCTGTGTTGGGGGTGTTCAATGAACTTAACTTTGAGCTGATACCCGAGATTTCATCTGGGGACATTGATATGTATGTATCAAATGCATCTTTTGTCTAAAAGAAGTCTAGGATCTGTTTTTGGCCCATAGCAGGATGCAACAGAAAATATACTGATTTTACAGTAAGACACATAGATCATTTTTTCATCATAGCTTCAACATATACTGCCTGTAATACCTTGGGCAAGTTTCTAAATCTGTGTCTGTTTCCACATGGGTAACATGAGGACAATACAGGCACCTGAGAATTAGATGACATAATATTAGGATAATGCTTGGCACACACTAAGAATTCCATATATTTTTCCTTTTTTTTCTTCTAGCTGTCAATTTTAATCTGGCTTAGAAGGTTATCAATAGGTTTTGGCCCATCAATAGGTGATGGTTCCTAGAGATGATTCTTAACTCTGTTGCTTCCTTGTTGTCTCTCTTTCTTTGTAAAATCAGACACCTATTTTTATAACCTGGCCCTCAAAGATCCTTTAAAGTCTAATTGTGAAAACTTGATGAGGAAGATGGAGCCCTAGTTACACCAGCCCAAAATGCCCTTGTGCCAGATTCCTTTCTTATTTTTCCGAGTGATTGTTGGTATCTTGAGACCCATATGCTAGAGCAACAGGATCTTATAAAGAGGATGTCTGCTGACACACCTAGGCTTTCAGAGTGCAGCTCAGGACTTCACTGACTTGTTATGTTCAGATTTAATTGAGATATCCTGCCTGAAACCTCTAGGTACTTGCTGAGCTCTACTTAGGGGCATATCTCAAGGGTAGGCCTCAGAAGCTCAGATGGTCCTTGCAGCCACAACATCAGTAACCTGTGATGAAATTGTGGAGAAGAGGTTGTCTGGTGATGGATTTGGAAATTTACTGGCTAGTTAAACCTCACTGAAGGGGAAGGAACTTGACTTAGCACTGGTACCCTAGGATTCACTAGATGAGCTAGAATTTGTATT